TTGTGGGGTGATGGAATACATCACTTCAGTTTCTCATGGGTTTGTATCTTTTGACTGCTAAACCTTCTTCCCTGCTGCGCTAACCCCAGTTCCATTTCAGAGCACCTGCTGGGCAAAACCCAGCACCTTCTGGGACTTCCTCAGAGCAGCACGTGTGCTCCTCAGCAGGCAGTGTGTGTGCCCTGCTGGCCTGCCTGCTTTAGGCTAATAGAAAACGATTTTTATGCTTTGGACTTAACTGATATTTCACATACCTTCCTGGTCACTGCCTTCCTTTCACAGTGTGAGAATGCGCAGAGAACTTTGGATAACAAATCCAATTTCTCTCTTTGCTTGAATTCAAGCAGTGGGCCCCCAGGTTGTTGGGGAAGGCTGGAACTGAAGCACCTGACAGAAGAGTGTGTGCTCCCTTTGCTTTAGAAACCAGGCAAAAAAGATGATTAACCAGGCAGCCATTTATTTTTTCAAGACAGGAAGTGATGGCTGCAGCCTTGTATTTAAAGGTTTATTTTAGCAAACAATGTTAATTCTCCCAGCTGGTGTTTGCTGCAGCTGGACTCCTTCCCTGCTTTACAAGCTTATGCGATCTCATGGAAAATGACCCAGGATCTCTTCTCTTGGTCACAGAGGTGTTTTCTTTTGCATCTTCCTGACTGCAAAGCTTATCCTGAGCCATTTCTCACCTCTGCAGAGGGATGGCATTGCATTGCTGTCACTGCCTCTTCTGCCTGCCTTTCAAGTGGATTGAAGCAACCTTATGGGATCCATTTGACTGATAGGGTGGGAAACCTGCAGCAAAGGGTAGGTGGCTGGGGACAGTCGAGTGAGAGCTGCTGGGTCCAGCAGAGACCATCCTCTTGTGGCTGGAGGTCACCTGGTTCGTCTTCTCTGGGCACTCAGTGTAGTGGACAGCCATGAACTGCATGTTTTGTCTCCACCATCTGCAGCCACCTCACTTCCAGTTTGCCTGAGGAAGGAGCAATTTCCTGGGAATCTGGAAAACTGGCTTGTGCTAGACAGTAATGTTGTTCTAAGGGTACTGCTGCAGTAGAAGTAATTAAACCCCTCCCAGTGTAGACACGGTTAAACTGAGACATGTCTTTTAGCCTGGTTTCCTATGGAAACAAGCCTTATGCAATCCTGCTGTCTGTCAGCCTTTCTCCCCCTCCTCCCCCCAGTAGTTTTTGCACTGGTTGGCCAATTCCAACCAAATGCGACAGAAGTCTCCAAGCTGTCAAGTTTCTACAGATTTTGTGGAAATAGGTGTTTGCATAGAGCAGAGAGACTGTGTTGGAGCCCATTTCAGAGGGAAAGGGTTTGACTCATACTGGTCACTGGAGAATCCCAACATGGAGGAAAGCTTTGAAATGCCTCTGGTGTGGGAACAGATGGAGTTGGAGTCTGCACCTGTATAAAACATTGCCTTGCAAACTCAGATCAAACTTAAGGGCAGTTCATTTTGTCGAGGTGGCTGCTCCTTTCCTCTGCTGGAAATCCCCCTCCCGGGGCAGGAGGATTGGCCTGTGTAGGAAACAACCTGAAATGCTGCTGTTCATAGCCTGGTTTAATAGAACAGCCTTAAATGAGTACGGTTAAAAATACTCTGGCTGCAAGGGTTGGTGTTTTAGAAGCTATCCCTGCTGGGAGAGGCAGATGGTTGGAGGCCATAATAGCTTCAGTTCACATTTAATCCATGTGTGTTTGGAGTCAACATCCTTGGAGAGACAGATCGGGTGACTGTGAGAGGCAGTTGTAGCAACCCAGACTTAATCCCAGTGCATGGCTGATATGCTGCTGTTTGCCTGTGGTTTCAACAGTACCAGAGTCTGGGACAGAAGCAAAGTCAACAGAGTTTGTCTGGTTTGAATGGTTCCCTCCAGTGCAGCACTGGCCGTGTGCTGGAGTGGTTTGCACTGAGGTGCTTGACGTGCCAGAAGCAAGACCTTGGGCTTGGAAGCAGTCACTTGGACTTGCTGGGCAGGTTACTGGGCAGAAGCTGGGCCCCAGTGATGTGCCCTTGGCTGGCCAGTGGTGTTTGCAGTTGTGGCTGGAGCAATGGCGTGGGACGTGTGGGCAGGACACAGTGAAAGCTCTGTGGAGTGAGGAGGAGGAGGCCAGCGGTTTTTCCACCTGTTTTCTCCTGCAAATCTGAAATGGGGAAATGCTCTATTCCCCTTCATCTCTCTCTGAGGACACTCCTAGGCAGTAATTTTTCCTCTAAAATTACATTACTTCAGCCCATGGCATTTCTCCTTGCTTCATTCCCCTTTTCCTAGTGGTGGAAAACCCTGTTCTGAGCGCTGGCTGCACATGGGAAGAGCACTTTGATGATGTCCTGATTACAGCCCTGAGGCCTCTCAGGCCCTGTCCTGGCTCACAGCTGATGTGGACATGGTGTGGCCATGTGTGGACAACCTGGCCTGAGCTCTGCACTGCTGCAGCTTAGCAAGAAAAAGTGCAAACAGCGAGTGGCTTTTAACTCTCCCTCTTGCTGAGACAGTGTTTGCTGGAGTATCTTCCATCAGTGATGTCAGAGATGATGCTGTTGGCAATTATCTGCAGGCATTTCATTAAAAAAAGACCAACTTTCTTCTCTCCTTTTTTCCGAAAGTCACTGATTCTGTCTGCTCTTGTCTTTTAATAAGTGTGTGGTGGGTAGGGCCAGATTTCCGATAGAGATAATACAGAGCATCATTTTCCCATCCTGAAAAATGTGGAAACGTGGAAACAACTAGAAGGCAACAACTTCTGTCCCTGTGGGAACAGTGGTTACTACAGAAGGAGAAAGGGAAATCTCAGAGGGATATCCTTCCCTACATAACTGATGCAAAAGGCCCTTGAAATTACTAGAATACAAAGAAAAGGGTATGTCAAAGTGGGCTTTGGGTCCTCTTGGCTGTGTTCAGGCACTTTTTCAGCTCCTGATCAGGTGCAAGTGTTGCAGCAGAGAGGCTGTGATGCATGTCTATGGTGATTTTGTGATTCACTGAGTGCCTTTGGGATGGCAGTACCTCAGCTTCCTCTTTGAAGTTCCTTGGAAAACAGCTTGTGTGTACATTTGCCTCAGTGGACAAGCAGAGTAACCAAATTACGTCCTCTAATTCCATCTTGGCCTTCTGGTAAGATCTGTGCATGTGGGTGACACAAGGGTGGTGTCCATCCCCATGCTGACATAAATGAAATCAGTCCCTGATGAAGCATCTTCCTCTGGGGTTCAAAAATACAGCCCTCACTTCTGCTGGTTTACATCCCCCTCCTCTGGCTGGTTCTCCTTGTCTTTCCAGGCTCCCACCAGCTCCAGCTGTGTCTGGGTGCTGCCCCAGGGCTGTTGGTTGCCCTCTCCCTGATGAGCACTGCCCCACCTCACTGCAGCTCTGGCTGGCAGCTGCCCTGGCCTTGCTGCCATTTTCCACAGTGGCTTTATGAGGTGCTGATGCTCCCTGTGCTGGCATCGGTGTTATTTTTGGCACTTTGCTTCGGGCTGAGATTCTCATCTTTTGGCTTGAAAGTCTAGCTGCTGCCTTTTAACTTGCAAGTGGAGAAGGACAGGATTCAAATCTGAAGGTTCCAGCCACCTGAAGAGCCTTGAAAGGCAGCATATTTTATCACTTACATAAATGCCATATTTTCCCACTATATAAAACCTTCTGTTCCTTCTTCTGTCTGCTCATACATTCCTGTGAGGGGTCTGAAACAGGGATTGCCTTGGGTTTGCCTGTATGGGGAGCATGAGTTGCCCCATCGGCACCCTGAAGTGGGAGGCTACAGCAGAGGTGAGGTGGTGAGTTTGAGCTGTTGAGCTCCTGTGGCTCCTTGTCCTTCACACAGACATCTGCTAATGTGTGTCACTTTGGTAAGGTGCCTCATACCTTTGCCATTCTGCATTACACCCCTCCTCACACACCAGACTCCGTGCTGGGTGGTGAATGTTTTAGAAAGCTAAATGTCTAGAGAGGAGTGTTTTCATCAGCAAACCTCAGAGACAGGGCTTTACCAGTCCCTCCAGGATGTCTCTGCAGCTCTCTTCAGTGCTGCTGTGGGGCAGGAGGGGATGTTCCAGCTCTGCAAGGAAGGACTGCTAGACTTGGTGACTCGCAGCCAGTGCTGCCCACACTGATCACTAGCCAAGAGTCATTAAGAAAGTCTCACCTCTTATCTCCTCTAAGCTGCCTTTCTTTTCCAGCAGGCACAGAGCTAGAGTTGTCCTGGGAGTGGATGAGTTACAGAAACAATTATTTGCGTTAAAGTGAACCGCTGGATCAGCAGAGTGTAAAATCCAACCCAAGCTCCAAGTCCCTGCCTTGGGAGCAGCTGTTCTTTGTCACTCTCCACAGGGTGATGTCCAGAGAAAAGCTTACTTTGCAAAGAGAGCTCCTGAGACTGCACAGATTAGGGGAGGAGTCAAAACTGTTTAAAATGTCTGTAGGCTTTAAAACCAATCGTGGTGTATGGATGCAGTGGCATGAAGTGCAGTTGGGGCTGTGCACTCAGGGTAATAGTGAACTACACATGCACACAGGCATAGCAGTGTCTGAGCTTACTGGAAATCTTGGTGTTGGAGACTCTCAGGTCATTGTTTCGTGGGATTAAAGTACTTGTTGGGAAAACAGATTGGGATTAAGGAGTAAAAAACTGGTTTGTGCTGGTAAGCAAAAGCAGAGATAGGTCCACCATGCTCATCCTGTGGCTCTGAATGCACAACATAGAATCAGTGTGCTGAGGTTACCACATAGCAGTCCAAGGTGCTTTTAACCACTGGAGTCACAGTTATGTTGATCTGGAGTAGTTTGATTTCCCCTGGTGAGGGTAAAGGTTTCATGGATGAGAGGGAAATTCTTCATGCAAGATGTCTGTCTCCTTTTTGGAGCTAAAAATTTTCTTTTGTGAGGGTGGGAGCAGAGAGAGGAGGGGAGGTGATGTGTTCCAGTCCAAATTGGTGGCAGAAATCAGTGTTCATTTCTGAAAGGACTCTCACTTCTAATTTCTTTTATCTATTTAAGCCAGTGAAGAAAAAGAAGATAAAACGCGAGGTTAAGATTCTGGAGAATCTACGTGGTGGCACCAACATCATTAATCTGATTGACACTGTCAAGGATCCAGTGGTAGGTGCCCATGTGTCATGTGTGTGGTGGGATTGCCTTTCCTCTGGCTGCAGGCGTGGGGCAGGTTTGGATGGGTTCCTGTTCCTTTCCATGTTCCCCAGACTCTTTAAGACCCCTTCTCTGTCTTCTGTGAGTTCTCATGGTTGATGGGGGGAAATCTTTTGAAGCCCTATAAGAAAGTAGAGCCTGTAGCCTTCTATCTTTTGTCTGGCATCTGGAGCCTAAGTACCAGCCAGGGCAACTGGAAATGAAGCACTTTGATCCTTCTGGTTGCTGTCCTACCCAGTGACCAGCAGTCATGTCATTGGTCTGCACTGCCACAATTGACCCATTCCCGGGAAGTTTTCTCTGACGAGCAGCTGGCTGAGGTCTGTGACTCCCATCCTGCTGCCAGCCATGAGAGGTAGTGATGCTGCTGTAGCATTGGCAGTCCTGGCTGACCTTCCTCCTGCAAGGAGAGGTGTGAGGGCTTAGCTCCTGGTGACACATTCTGCCTTGCCCAGTGCTGTCCCTGCCCCTTGGCATGGGGAGGACCAGCACTGGCCACAATGCCGAGGTGGTTCTTGGTGTGTGGGGTATAAGCAGAGCTGCCTCCAACTTTTACAGGAGCAGGGCTGTGCTGCTCTCCCTGTCTTGCTGCTGCCCTGCTCTCCCTAGTGAGGGCTGGGCAGGAAGCAAAGGCTTTTTAAGGTCTCTTGGAGCAAAGAAAGGTCAAGTGGGTGTTTTAAACCATGACTCTCTTTCCCTTGCAGTCAAAGACCCCTGCTCTGGTGTTTGAGTACATCAATAACACAGATTTTAAGGTGAGTTTGCTTGAGTGTGGAGGAGGGAGGCTTCCCATTTCTGTTAAGAGTGCTGTGATTGCCAGATAACCCTGAAGAGCTCTGGGGAGAGTTTGGAGTTTTCACAAAACTATGTCAGCTTCACTTTGTTTTCTCCATGTAAATCAGAAACCTGTTACTGGGCTCTAGATTAAAAGGAATAAAAAGTTTGTGTGCTGCATCTTCTCCCAGCTCTGAGGAGTAAGTTCAACAGGTTAGATATTCTTGCTCCCCTCTCAATTTAGTAATCACTGCTGTGTTATATATTCAGCCCAAGTTAATCCCTGTGCTGTGGTGCTCTGCTTACAGCAGTGCAGTTGATGGAGCGGGGGACACCAATTTTTTTCTGGAATCCTTCAGACCTGGGGACTTTGGGGTGGCAGAGAATGGAAAACACATTCCCACTGCCAATGGGCCTTGTAGCAGGATAGTGAGCATTCTTGAATACATCTTAAGAGCTCTTTTGCTTGCCTGAGGCTGCAGGATATTCCCTGGCTCTTCTGATTTCTGGGGAGCTCCAAGGGGTATTACCCATTCCCGAAAGGAGGGTCCTCTGAATGCAGCTACAACTACTTCTGCTACTCAGATGTTTTTGGCTGGGAGCAACAGACTGAGAGACAAGAGGGATCTGTAATTAGCAGCCACACCTATTTTAATGGCATCTTTGCTTCCCCCATGTGAGTCTTTACCCTAAGTCGCTAAGTCAGTGGTGGAGAATTAATGGAGCCATTAGAAAGCCAGCAGTCATCCCTCCTGCACTGTTCAGGGATCTCTTTCATTCCATGTTATGGGATGGTGGGTTTTCTTCCTGTCTGTGCTGGAGCATGATGTAGGTACAGGCCTTAAAGGAAGCAGATGCACCAAAGGCCCAGAGAAGAGCTCTGGGCTGGTGTTGCTGGAAAGGAGGAGCTGCCTCCCAGACCATCTGTGTGCAGGGCAAGACACGTTGTTTCTGTCCCTTTGGAGTGGGTCTGGCGAGCTGGATGCTGCCAGATGGGATGTGTGTGCATAGCCAGAGTTGCAGCCATGCTGCAGTGGGGTCTTAGTGCTATTTAATCTCATGTAGAGAGTTACTGCAGGAGCCAGAATAATAGTAACTTGCAGCAGCATCTGCCCTGACAGCTCTGGGCGGGGAGATGAGCGTTGCCTCCATCAAGTAAACAGCCATGAGAGGAGTGCTATGTGGTGACCTTTCAGGGCTAATTAAAGCAGGTTTGGTTTGCCTGAGCTTCGTTGACATCAGCTGGGCTGTTCCAGTGCTGCATGTGTGTTGGGAATGTACCCCTATTGCTTCTGGTGACCCACAGCCTCTTTGTAAGGCCGATCCTGGAAGTTTTTAATTTTCTATTTAGAGATTTTATGTATCAATTAATTAATTAATTTTTATTTTTAATATATGGCTTGAGATAAAATAGGTTGCTTGCACCTTGCTAACGATTGCTTTATGTTTCTCCTGTCAAAATGTGATTATACCACTCTGTTGTGTCCTTAGAGGAAAAAATTGTCATCCAAGACATCACCCAGTAACTGAAATATGTTCGTGAAGTTGAGTGTTAAGCAGCAGCTCGAGGCTGGTGGCCAACAGGGACTCTTAACTGAAAAATGAAGGGCTCAGAGTCCATGATCCATCAGCCATCCCAGCCACATGGAGAGCTGGAGCAGGCACTGGCTGCAGCCAGTAAGGAGCAGTGGGCTGGCCACAGCAGAAGTAACAATGCTCAGCTCTGGCTGTTGCATTAGAAACAACTGTATGAGTTTGCAGCAGACATCTTCTAGGCTCCTGGGAGAAAGCCTGGCTCCTCAGGGAACTCCAGATTCACAGCTGGGCAAGTCTAAGACAGAAAGCTTCTGATGCTGATTGGTACAAGGCAGGAATAACTCGTCTTGGGAACGCAAGTGTGTCCCCAGGGCATGCGGTATGGCTGCTCCTGTTCAGAGCTTATTTGTAACCTGAATTTCCCCAGCTGTGTCTGGGGTGTGTGGGTTGTTTGAGCTACACTCCCATGAGCTCTTTACCTGTTTGGGGAGGTTCTTGGGGCTGCAGCTCACTGGCAGATTATAGAGCTGCTGCTACTTAAGGGTGCCTGTGGGTGCCTTCTTCTGATGTCAACAGATGCTCCCAAGCTGTCTCTTCCCTTGCTTTGAAATGCCAAGCAGAAAATGTACAAAGTAGATGAGACCACCTGTGTTGGAGGTCTCTGCTTGCCCTGTACCTCTACACATGAAGCAGCTGGAAAGCACCCAGTCATTGTCCTCTCTGCTCCACAGTCCTGATCCCCCAGGGCAGCCAAATTCTGCTAGAATTAAATGCCACAGTGAGCTAATCCAGGTGACAAGTACCTCTTCTCTTTGTTTTGATCTGCCCATCTCACTGGCAAATCACCTTCAGGATGTGTGAGGGGGTTCCCAGGGCAGCTCATGTGCAGCAGGGGCTTGATGACCACTTCCCAGGATTGCTTTTTTCTCTGTCCTTTTGGCAGTAGTTTCTCACAAGCTTGGATGTCTGCTCAGTTGTCTCCTTTCTGGCTGTTTCTTTCCTTCAGCATTGTTATTTTTTGCTTAATGTTAATGCTTTTGCCCATTGTTAACCCTTTGCCCATTCAAATGGCAGAATGCTGCTCAGGTCAGTGCACCCATGAAAATGGCTACTGGGTTTCCTTACCTGTCTGTGCACAGGGAGAAACTGCAGTTCTGTGGGGCCTAAGCCATGGCTATGAACAATTCCAGATCAGAAGCACAGGCTTATATTCCACATGGTTTGGCTATTTTTAAATGATGGTATAAACAGGAGACTTAGGTGATACCTCCCCAGAGCTGATTACATTTTCTTAAATTACCTGCCTGGGTCCCTGCTGGAAGGGATGGCACTGCACTTGCAGGAGGATGAGCTGGAACCAGACTAAATGCGTGTTCTGGAGCTTGTGTTACAGGGCTAGTGTTTCCCTTCAGACCTGCTGCATTACTTGTCATCTGTGAACACTCAAGCTCCCCACAGTCATCTGCCTTCAATGAAAACTGCACTGCAGAGCCACACGGTCAATTGGGGGATCATCAGTGAAATTAAATGTCTTTTGCTAATTGGTTTCAAACTAGAGATGAGACGCCTGTAATTCAGCCACTGTCGGCTGTCACATATTTTGTGAACATGCCTGGTACTGTGCTTTTTATTGCCCCAAAAAGGCAAATCCCTCAGGAAAGAAGGGGGCAGAGCCAGCTCTTGAGGAGCAGTTATGCTTTGGGTTTGCTATTTCATTCTTAAAACACATTAGCAGGTTTGCAGCTCAAGAAGAGGAGATGGGCAAGAAAGGTGAGCGAAGGAAGGTTGCTTCAGGATGCTCAGCCTGTTGGAGTTGTGGGTTCAGTGGGCTTTGGAGTCAAGTCTTCCACTTCACCTGCACTTTGGTGAATTTTCAGGCCAAATTGCTGTAAGGGGAAATGTGTGTGTGTGCTTTATCCTTGTGCATCCAAGGTTTGTTTGAAAAATGATTGTTGCCCTGCATAAGCGATGCAGAATTATAAAAGATTCCCCTCCCTTGCGTGGCTGCCAAGGCCGGAATGCTTTGGGAACTGTTTCCTTTTCTTTTCCTGCTGCCTGCCCTGCACCCCAAAGCAGTGTCTCTCCTCACAGCCACCCTGTTGCTTTGCAGATGCTGCTTCCTGCACGTAGCCAGCTGTGCTGCTCACTCAAGGGAGAGGAATGAGCATTTAGCTCCTGTCAGCCCCATGGCAGGGGAAGCGTGTCTCTGTCTCCTCGGGCACTAACAGGATTAGTTTATGATTGGTTATGTGATGTGTGCCAAAATATCACCAAAAGCTGGAGAGGGGTAGGGGCTGCCTGTGGGTGGCTTCGGCCTTTCCTTGTGCTCTGTATGGAGAAAGGAGACCAACCCAGGTCTCTGAGGCCTCCTGGGATCCAGAGTGCTGGCAGCTAGCTGAGCAGATTTGGGCTGGGTCTGAGTGATCCCCACAGTGATGTTTCTGGTAGTTCTACTCCAAAGGGACAGAGCAGAGCATGGGGCACTGGGGGGACTGGGTTTCGCAGGTAGCTCTTCCAGGGAAATCTGTTGGAAGCTGTTTGCCCAGCAGTGTATGGGCATATCATGGTCCAACGCTGAAGGCCACGAGTTAGAGAAGTGACAGCATTTCGGGGCTGTGAAGAAAGACTTTAGGGACCTCCCTTCCGTTCCCTCCTTCCTTACAGGTAGCAAGAGGCAGAGGAGCCAAGGAATTGGGGAAATGAGGTCTAGCCTTGTTCTGCCACTGCCTGTCCTGCCCTCCTCCTTCCCTAGGTGCATGATGTTGCCAGATGAAGTTGAACAGGGTAGTGAATGCCAGAAAGACATGTTTTACACACATTTCTCGTAGTGTTTATTACTTAGCAAGCCATTTAAACAGACTTCTGGAAGGACTCAGCTGTCCTCTGCTGGCCCTGCATCCTGCATCAGAGTCAGGAAATCTATCCCTGCTGTAGCTCTATAGCCTGTGGCTATGACTTTTTTGCTCCCTGCTCACTTGTCTGCTTCAGTGGGTTGCTCCAAAGCGTTAGGATCATCCCAGCTCACGAGAATTCAATGCAGTTGTGTCCTGGAGGCTGTTAAAGCTCTGTGTGTGTAAGTGACACTTGTATGTTGTCAAATGATTTCCAAGAGCAGTATCGGGGGGTGTTTGCTTGGAGATGGCCCTGAGTTAGGCAGGAACCTGAGGATCTCAGCATGGGCCTGGAGGGGATCCAGGGCTAGAGCTGCTCTCTTGGAATGTGAATTTCAATCTCTTGCTCTGGGATTTTTCCTGAAGCTGCCAAGTGGTCCCCGTGATGGGCAGCTGGCTCCAGTGCTGATGCAATCGGTGATTTGTCTGAGCTGTGAGATGATCCTTGTTTGTAAGAAAGGGCAGAGAGGTCTGGTCCCACTGCTGCCCTGTGAGTGTCCTTCCTTGCCTTGCCCTGGCATCTTGCCTTGCTTTCCCTGGATGAGAGCACAGCCCAACGGGGTTGGGCTGACACCACTGCCAGTGACAGATATAGAGCAGAAGGCAGATTTGGGGCCAGCTGTGAGCTGGCATGGGAGCAGCAGGATGATGAGTTCTCCAATGCTGGTGCTGGTGGCACAGTGCAGGTTAAAGTGCACCCTGGATCTCTCTCACTTCTGCGTGAGCAGCTGCAGAAGGACACACAGGAGAGGAGGGTGGTGAACTCGTGCTGGTAACAAGTACTTCCCTGAGACTCTGAGCTCTCCTTGTGCTTGTGCTCTCCTTGGCCCCACAAGCATTTCTGCACTCTTGAGTTGCCTTAGTCTTTATCCTGGGATAGAGAGGAGCCTCTGTGGCTCTAAGGGTGTCTCCTCCCCTTTGTATTTCCCCATTCTGTGCTCCTTTAGGTTAAAGTTTTTGTTTCCCTGCCACACCCTGAGCACCTGGACACCTTGTTCGTGTGTTCCCAACCTGCTCTGAATGCTGTCATCAATGTTGACATGCAAAGTCATCACAGTGACTTGACAACAGAGAGTCACAATCATCTGTGCCAACTCCAGTGTGCTCTGAAGGGCTTTTGCCCTGTTCTCCTTGGATGGACAGCCTGCCCATCTCCTGCTGGAAAGAAGCTGAGTCTGAACGATCCCAGTAGCATTTCACAGGAGCTCTTGCATACTTTTGGGATTCCCTAGTGTGTAGCCCTGGCAGGTCTGAGGCCAGGACAGCCCTCGGGAATGGTGGCATTCACAGGAAATCTGGAATGGGGTCAATGACTGGAGAAAAGTGGGGTGCAGGAAATTAAACTAATCCAAATCTGGAGTATTTATTTTTTTTCTCTTTTGTTTTTCTTCCTCCCTCCCCAAATCTGTTTCAGCAACTGTACCAGATCCTGACAGACTTTGATATTCGGTTTTATATGTATGAGCTGCTGAAGGTGAGTGGCATTGCATATGGCAGTCTGGATGGGGAGGCCAGGAATGAGAGCAGCAGTAGCAGGGCTCGTGGGGCAGTGCTACTGAGTGGTTACTTCTCCTGTGTTCAGTGCAGAATCCATGTCTCATAACCTGGGAAGGCTTGGGAAGACATCTGGTTACCTGGCTTGTTGCTGTGAGGTATTGCAACTAAACTGGGGACCTTAGGTCACCTCCAAAGAGCCTCTGATTCTCTGGGGCCTATCCTTTCCCCAGGAAGCATTCGTGACTGGTAGTCACCAGGTAGGGCTGTGCTTGGTCTCCCTGTGTCTCCAGCACCACTGAGCTGCTGCGAGGAAAATCAGCTCCCTCCAGCCAGACCCAGGACAAGCACTGAGAGGCATTTGCAGGACTGGAGAGCTGGGTTTCTAGGGAGACTGGAAGAGAGGGATTACCAGCTGCAGGCTTTGTTCTGCTGCAGTGTTCAAATGCAGACCCAGAAGGTGACTTCTGCCCACTTGATCTTAGACTCCTGTTTCTCTGGGTGGGGGATCTAGGGCACATCAAGAATAAGCTGGCCAGCTCAGTGCCCTGTGGTCACAGAACCCTGGGAATGTGGTCGTGGGGAACAAAGCTTCTGGTATGCCAGCTGTTATATGTTAATATAACACTGGTATTTTCCTTTGAGACCTCCCAGCCAAAGCTTTCCCTGCCCTTCTGATGAAAGCTGAGGAGTATCCTAAATACCTCCTCTTAACTGGCCTAGCTTGCACTTCCCTGTGGAAATGCTCAGGGAGCCACATGGCAGGTCTGTGAGATGTGCTGCCCCTTCTCAGGGGTCTCCAGCTGCAGGACATGGGAGGTAGCAGGGTATTAGGGAAAGCTTCCAGGTTCAACCCATCCAAGGCAGTTCTGTGCTGACCTGCTGGAGCAGCAGCTTGGCTGTGTCAGGTCTTAGCAGGGCCTTGGGATTTCTGGCACTTTCCAATTCTCCACCCTCTGGAAATGAGTGGAACAGGTGAGGGAAAGCCCTTTGTGCTCCAGGACTTTGTGACTTCAGGAGACTTCCTGAAAGAGACCTAGCAGGCCTGAGGGAGGCTTTCTTCTCTGCACCCCCAAGCTTGTTCATCTGTCTGCAAGGGAAGGACCTTCCTACCAGAGGCTGGAGGGAACCTAAGGCAACCCGGGGTTAGGGGGGGAGGGATGATGAAGTTTAGGTGATCCAACCTTGGCAACACAAGACACTAGAACAGCTTCATCCCTGGAAGCACTTTGTGTAACCTGTTACAGATCTCCTCTACTGGAGATCCCAGGACCACAGTGCTGTGAGTCCTGTGGGTTGTGAGGCCACATGTCATTGCAGGGATATTCTCTTAGGCCTTGCTGTGATGGAAGCTGTTGCCTCCTTGCTTCCTGCTGTGGCAGGGGCCCAAGGACAGCGTTGCTTCCCTGGCACTGGTGTCTTGCATATTGAATGACTGCAGGCTGTACCCTCTTTCCACGCTGCTGGAGATCTCATAGCATCTGATAGATGTTGATGGATGGATCTCCCTCCCCTTGGAGATGAGAAAACAACATTCTCACCCCCCTGGTCAAGGGAACAGCTGCGTTGAGGGGGGGCAAGTGGTGCAAGGTCATGGAGCTGGAGAGCTTATGTGTGCTCCTGCCTTCAAGCTTGAAGCAGCTTTGCTCTCCCTCGTGTGCTATCACTTTTTTAACTGCAGGTTTGGCTTAAGTCAGCAAGATAGAGGTGACTTTCTGGCTTAAGTGTGTTTTGGGGCACAGGTGAAAAGCTGCACTGGAAGGCCATAAAACTGTATGCATGTAAGAATCATCCCCTTCTGGGGAAGAGAGCATGACCTGGGAAACACAGGGCTACCCAGGCTGGAGCATTGGGCTTGTCACCAGGTGGGACACGTCTCTGGATCGTGTTCTTCAATGATTGTGCAGGGAACACAGTTCCAAGACTGTGACTGCAGTCAAGATCCATAAAGGCTTGTTGCCAGGTTGCCACTTCATCCACGTGCAGCATAAGAGCTGAAAATGCCAGTTTCTTGTGCCAGAGTTACAGCACTTCCTCATGAGCTCTTGCTCCTGGCTGAGAGCTGTCTGTTATATTGCTAACGCTGTGCCTGTGGTTACAGCCATGTCTAATGTGTGTGTGTGTCTGCCAGGCCCTGGATTACTGTCACAGCATGGGAATCATGCACAGGGATGTCAAACCCCACAACGTCATGATAGACCACCAACAGAAAAAGGTACTGTGACACCAGGGCTTGTAAGCAAGGTTTTTCCAGGGAAACTTGAAACTCTGCTGCCTCTGTACCCATAGCCTGGGCAGCTGCACAGACCCCTTTAACCTTTCTTTAGTGGGTCCCCTCAACCTGTGACAGCATCAGGAGATGGCCAAAGTCCCACTGGGGAGCACCCCAGTGGGAGTCCATGGCTTCCTCAGTGCTGGGATGTGCTAGTTAGGTCACAGGAAATGCTTGTACCCAGCTCACTACTGTGGAAATGGGCAGCACAGGGACTTCCCCCATCCTGGTACTCATACCCCATTGGGTGCTGTGTGTACCTGCCCCAGGGACCTGGATCCTTAGCAGGGAACTAGTTGCTGTTCCACAGGTCTTTTCTGCCAGTCAGCAGAGGCTGAACAGGCAAGGCAAGGATTATAAGGAAGGGAATCTCTTACTGGACCCACTGTCCTTCAGTAACACGGCAGTTCATCCATCCCTGGGGCTGCAGAGGAGATGGTCAGCCTTGCAGGATGTGGTGAACACCCCTCCTACCCCGTGTTTTGCTCTCAACCCCCAGGTAAAATCAACACTGCCTTCAGCCCAGCCTCTCTAAACAGTGGGATAAGACTTTTGCCTGTTGCCTAGTATGCAACGACCTGTCTGCTGTGGCTGGTGGTGCTGGTCAGGAACCAGCTGCCCAGCAGTAACAGTGTGCTTGGACTCAGGAGGCAGAGCAGCTCTCTAAGCTGGGCTTTGCCCCACAAGCTGGTGGGGGAAAGAGCCTGAACAGAGCACTGCTGAGAGCATTCCCTGTCATCAGAGGGCCTCCTTCCACCCCAGGCTCTACACTTGCTTGAGGGATTGAGAGGTTTGGCCAGCATGGCCAAAGTGGCTCCTGACTCTGTGTGTCTTTATTGTGTGTCCAGCTGCGGCTCATAGACTGGGGTCTGGCCGAATTCTACCATCCAGCTCAGGAATACAATGTCCGTGTGGCCTCCAGGTACTTCAAAGGACCAGAGCTCCTTGTGGACTACCAAGTAAGAGTCTGTCTCCTCCTTGCTACCCAGTGATGTCACTTGTGGCTGCACTTTAGCCACCTTTGGGTTGTCTGGTTTTGCCTGTCAGGGCATTGCCTGGGTTGGAGAGAGGCTGGCTGTGAAGTGCAAAGGCTGAGGCTGCCTGTGCAGCTGGGGAACCGGGCTGTGGTGAGTGTGCCTTTTCTGACAGCTTCTCCTTTTTCCCTCAGATGTATGACTACAGCTTAGACATGTGGAGTTTAGGCTGTATGCTGGCAAGCATGATCTTCCGAAAGGAGCCCTTCTTCCACGGCCAGGACAATTATGACCAAGTAAAGACATTGCTACCTGGCTTATTGTGTGAAAGTTTGTCCCCAGCTCATTTCTGTGTGTATGGTGGGGAGGTTCTGAGGGTCAGATCACCATGCTGGGAGGATGTTGTTGCATGTTGGTTAAGCCATCTGGGATTTTGCTTCTCTGCCTTGTGTAGGAATTTTTTTTTCTGCACACGTTGCAAAAACAAGTTTCAAGGGAGATATTCCTTCCATCTGGGATGTTTCCAGAAGGACTGCTCTTAGATTTGGGCAGCTCTGCCTCTGCAAAAGAGTGGTGGGCTACCCTTCTGCTTTCTGAATATGCCTTTTATTCCAGCTGGTTCGCATCGCGAAGGTCCTGGGCACAGATGAGCTCTATGGGTATCTCAAGAAGTACCACATAGAACTGGACCCACACTTCAATGACATCCTGGGCCAGTAAGTGGAGAAGTGAAATGCTGCCCTTTTTCCTTGTGACACAGAGAGGTAGATAAACTGATGTCTGTGCCCTGGAAGCACTCTCAGCAAAGGCCTGCTCGATCTTCGTGATCACAGCGCTGCTTGCATCATGTCATTGATGAAATGCAGGCTCTTTCTTTTTGCCTCTCCCATGATCCATCCCATTTCTTCTCCCTCCTGCTCATTCACATCCTCAAAGTGGAGGTGTAGACACTGGAGTTGAGCGTGGGCTGAGTTGCTCAGAGTCTCCCAGCTGAGATTCCTGAAAAGGACAAGAGGTGGATTTAATAGTGAGGACAACTTCTGTGGGGCTGGCTGGCAAGTCAGAGAAATTCTGGTCCCGAGGGTGTCACCCTGCCTGCTGCCACATGCCATTGTCTAGTCCCTGTAGACAGAAAGGATCATGCCTTTCCTAGGCACAGAACATCCATACAATTGTGTAGGTATAGAAGAGGGTTTCCCCTTTTTGGCAGGTGTTTGCTGAGCAGTTGCCTGTGCAAGGAAAAGCTGTAGGCAGCGTTCATCACAGCCTCTCTTCTCAGAGGAGGATTGTGGCAGGTGATTCCCCCTGGTCCCTTTGCAGGCATTCCCGGAAGCGCTGGGAGAACTTCATCCACAGCGAGAACAGACACCTGGTCAGTCCTGAAGTCCTCGACCTCCTGGACAAGCTCCTGCGATATGACCATCAACAGAGGCTGACTGCCAAGGAGGCCATGGAGCACCCCTATTTCTGTGAGTCTGTGGAGTAGCTGGGGCCAGCTGGGATGGAGCTGTGGGTTGTGGAGGTGAATTTTGGCTCCCTGCTCCGCGAAAGCCTTAGCAGCTCTGTGAGTTTCCAGGGCAGCTTCTCTGGAAGGATTTGCCCGGGTGGAGCTTCCGCTTTTATTAAATACTGTTTCCTCTTCCTGCCTGCTCTGTCTCCTGCAGATCCAGTGGTGAAGGAGCAGTCCCAGCCCAGCTCAGAAAACGCTGTGCTCTCCAGTGGCATGACAACAGCGCGATGAGGACTGGAAAACGACGGGTAATTCAAGATGTTTACAAATAAAAGCAAAACCTTCGGTCACACAGTGAAGGGAAAAGAACCAAGGACCCCCCCCTCCTTCCCCTCCCCTTTATACTCGGCAGAAATCTAACCTTGGGGGGGGTCATAAACCTCAGTTCCTCTCTGGTGGTTGTGGTTAATGTAACTCTAACCCTGTGGTACCAAAGCCCTGGGCAAATGGTCTTGCAAGAGCTAAACATGTAGTGATATCCCCAGGGCTCCACACAACTGATTCTGGTTCACATCTCTATGGATCCTTCTCTTCCTTCTCAGTCCAGCCTTCCCCACCACGCTGGTGGGGACAAATTGGTCGTTCTACCATCAGCCCTTAGCATGCCTCTTTCTAAACTTGCCTTTCTGACTTGTAGTCTCTGAATGAACCAAATTCAGGCTGGGGGTCAGCAGGTGCAACTCTGTTTTGAGGTCTAAGTCTGTACTGCTCACTCTGGGCTTGAATTTGGCCCTTGAATTCCAGTTTCAATTGTGAATGCCGGGGTGGTTGGGGGGAGGGCGGGGGGGAGTTTGACAAAAAACAACCCACAAACCCAGCAGCATCTCAGGATTAGTTTGGAGCATTTAAACGAAGGCACTGATCCGAGTTGCTGGGGAGAGGAGATCCCCCCCTCCAGTGTGTTTGACAAAGGCTCGCTCTGAGAAGAAACTCAATAGACCTGCTTTGGAAACTTGTGAATGTGAGGGCTGCTCTTGTGGCAGGAGAGGGGAGGGACTATCCAGACTTTCCCACCGAGCTCAGGAAAGTCAGTGTTGCAAGATTTCTTGTGATAGGTGTGCAACCACGTACCTCATGACGTGGCTCCCATGAGAATTTGTGCCAGACGCAGACTTGTGCCAGAGCACAGCTCTGGGGCGGTTCAATCCAGCACCGCAGGATGGAGGAGTGGAGAGGAGGCCAGGGAGGAGAGCACAGGGAGGGGGGAGGATCAACAGACGGCGTCGGGGCGGGGGCTGTGCAGCTACTGATCCAGGACTTGGGATCCCACACAGTGTTTTAACAAAGTCAGCCATTTGTTGAATTCTGGGGTGCCGATCCTGTTGGGGGGTGGGGGGTTCGTCTTGTGGGTTCTTTCATCAGATCCCTCGATGGCTTTATAGCCCCACAATTCACAGTTGCCTCCTCTACTTGTTCTGTGTGTAACTTCATCAAGTGGTTCTGGTGACACTCAAACCTAGACGCTGGAGATAGTGTTTTCCCACCAGCACCTAAACACAGAATTTCCTTCTGCGGCATTGTTGAAATAGTTAATTTTTTTATAAGGTTGCAATGTTTCTATTTGAAACATCTGTTTACATTCCATATTCCAATAAAGTTCTATTGGCATCGACAGCAGGTCAATCCATTTGTATAATTCACTGAAACCAATAAATATCTATACGTCTGAACGTCTGCCGTCTCAAATCTATGTGATAGCCAGAGGGCCTGAGAGCTGAAGGCCTTGTCTCCTCCAGGAGGGCAGGTTGGCTCTTCCAGCCCCTCTTGTGTGAGTTTTTTGGGATGTCTCACTCAGTCTTTGGTCCCACTTCTTCGTGCTGTCAACCCTGAGAGTTTCACTGTGGCAGATTGTCTGTGCTGCCACGGGGCCGCAGAGGAGGTGTGAGATTTTGGGAGTCAGCTCTTGAGGTACATTGGACTCAAACAGCTGGTGCCTGAGGGACCATCCTCAGGCTGTCTGTTACCTGGCAGATCAGACCAGCTCACCGATGCATGGCTGGAAGCTGGGGGGTCTCCACGTGTGTACCCCCTGCTCGTCTGCTCTCAGCCTGGGTGGATGGCTTTTTCTAAAGATGTGCTGAGCAGGGAGTAGTTCTTCTTTCCTCCCACCCTGGGAGGTGAGTGGTGCATGAGAGCAGTTATGTGTGTCCAGGCTGAGGAGCAGCCTGTGATGTGCTGCTGTGCCACACAGCCTTGCTGACATTTGCTCTCCTGCTGAGGCCACTGAAGGTGTTGGCAAGTGTTCCCAGCCCTCTCTTCCATCTGCCCAACCTCTGGGCTGCCTGGCCTGAGGGGCAGGGGGGTCTCTTGTGCTCTTAAGCTGTGCTACTACCAGCAGGGCTGGTTTGGGGTTTTAACATCGAGTTTTGGACTGATTTTTAAACATGTATTGAACTGCTCTATGGAGAAGTGGTAGGAGTGGATGTTTCTCATGGCCTGTCCGAGTTGCTATGGGAGGAGCTTGTCCGTTTTCCAGCTCTTGTGTGTTGGCATTCCCAGCTTCTGGAGGGACAAGGCAGAAGAGGTGTGGAGAAGAATGGGTTGAGTGTGGGAATTTTAATAGGTGGAAAATGTTGGTCACTGTATATGAGTGCTTGATAGTGTCCAAACCTGATTGTGGAATTTCAAGGTGGTGCTTGGGAAGTATTGTTTCTGTAAACTTGAATCAGAAATTCTTTCCTGGTACCCTCAAGCAGAGGAAGTGAGTTGCTCTTCCAGCAAATTAAATGGCTTTCCCTGGTTGCATTAAGTAGAGAGGCTGGAACAACCTGCCCCTTATCTCCCCACATCCCTACCCCAGCTCTAGAGTAGGACGAGCAGAGACAGATTGATCCCAGAGGAAAACAGCAGCTGAGCAAGAGTAGCCTGGGAGCAAGAGGGTGTGGATCCCGGGGATCTGATCCTAGGGCATCCAGTGTGGATGCTTCACTGCAGCTTGTACCAGTTTGTCTCTGCAGCCAGCGGCCCTCCCAGCATTCAGAACAGAAAACCCTTCTCTCCTCTGGACCTTAGCAAAGTTATCTCCTGCTTGTAGGGACAGCTGGGAACTGGGGAAGAGTGTCTTGTCCTTAGGAAGTAAGAGGACTGAGACATGCATCTTCATTCCTGGCCTTTCAGGTGGCCTGGCCCCAGCTTTCTAGCAGAGGTAGAGCGTGGGTTTGGCTGAATGCCTTGTAAGAGGAGAGGCTCCAAACCAGAGCCCTGGCAGGCACTGAGGGATGCAGTAGGAGATGGATGCAGTAAGCAACTTTGCCACCTTGCCCGTGCCTGTTTCAAGTGTGCTGTGTCATGGTGGGAGTCTTGAATGGGTCTAGAGAAGGTATTTGCAGCAGCGGAGGGAAAGTTAACACAGGAGGTTAGGGAGAAAAAAGTCCAAACTTGTGCCTGGCTGTCCATGAAAGTTCTGCTTTGCTGGACTATGTCTCCCCATTACCCTCCTCGGTCCTGCCTTCCCCTATTGCCCCTTCCAAAACCAGGCTTAGGTTCCCCTGCTGTCCCCACATCCAGAGGGCCATGGAGAGTACCCTGGAGGGTGGCAGGACGTGGGGCAGCGTGCCCAGCCATCTCCTCGTCGCCTGGTGCTGGAGGAGCTCTGCATTGAGCTGGCAGTGCCCCGTGACGCTCACTTCCCTCCTCCCGTCTCTCCTCAGGTCCGATGCTGTTGCTCCCAATTTTCCATAAGCAGAATGAGAACCAAATCAAACGTCCCATCGGCGCGTGTAGAGCGACGGCGGGCGGACTGCGCGGCGCGGGCAGGGCTCGGAGCGGCACTCGCCCCGCGGTGACCTCAGCCCTTCCCTCCGGGCCTTAAAGGTTCTCCTGCCTCTGGTTCCTTGTTGAGCTCTTCCTGACCCAGAAAGCATGGAAATGTGAAGGGTGTGCAAAGCAGTTGTTGGTTAGTTGTTCCTTCCTCTGTTCTGGCTGTTGCCCCCCCCAGCCCCTGATGGACCACGGTTATCCAGCTTGTGCCCGTCTCTGCCAGGACACGGGGGCTGCAGGGGGTGTAGTATCATGGACAGTTCTATACTATAATTAAAAGAATTCTATATTGTTGAATAAAAGTTTTGAAAGAAGTGTGCAAGGAGGAGTATTCAGTGGGGAGGGAGCTGCAGAGTGCTGGCAGTGTGAGCTGTGCCCTGCTGGGACAGGCTGGGCAAGGAGAGCAGGAGGAACTTGTTGTACAAAATCACCGTGAGCAGAGGCAGAGGAGCCACTTGCCACCTTTGGGGGTGTTCCTCCTTCGGAGGTGTCTCTCCTTAGGCCTCACACTCTTATGGAGGTGCCTGCCTGGGTGGTGGCCTGAGTGCTAATGTTGATACCTGCTTTTCCTGTCCTGGGAGGGCTTGAGCATGGCTCTGTCTCTGTACCACTGGAGCTCCCATCTCTTCCTCTTTCTTGGTCTTGAGGCTCTACTTCCCAACACCATCACTGCAAAGCCCTAAGCTTGGAGCTCCTGCACATGGGCCTCTGCATTGCAGGAGTTCCCCTCAGATGTTGTGCTTCACAGGCAGCTCTTGGGACAGTCTGGCTGCAGTGCTGGTGGTTTGGCTAGGCTGGGCTCTGGTCTTAGATGTTAATGGACCACTTGAAACTCTGATCTAAAAGCCTCCAGATGGAATCTGCGTGACTGTACACGGTCATTTCTCTTCTGTTGTCCCATTCCTTCACTGCTCATATGTTTTTCCCTACACAGTTTTTCCTATACTGAAGCTGCCCAGGCTAAGGGTACCTCTGAGGCAAGGCTTTTGCCTGGGAAAGAGAGACCTGTTGCTGGTTCCCAGGGAGGGGAGTTCAGGTAAGGTGAGTCATGGGCTCCTGCCAGCACAGAACCACATGGTGCTGCTCTCACCCAGCCCTGGGCACTGGCCAAAGTGGAAACCCAGGAGGAGTGAGTCCTTGCACAAAGCCTGTGAGGGGTACAGGTGGAAATCTGTCCCGGTGTGTCACACCTGGAGATGTGCAAATGTGGGGCCAGATGTGGACATGGGCATCAGGTAAGTTCAACCTGTTGATGCTGTAAGGCAGAGCTTGGTCCATTGCCAAGGCACGGTGTAATGACAGCCCTGTTGTATCCAGGACTCTGCTGATCTCTGGCAAAGAAAGTCATCAAGACTTTCTTTGGCTGGTGTAGATCTGGCCAGTGGTGAGAGCCTGTCGCTGCAGGGAAGAGCCCTTGCCAGAGTCCACCTGAGGTTCATGGGCACTGGGCAGCAGTGCTGGGAGCTTGTGCTGAACTGAGGTCCCTGCAGCAAGGTGGCACATCCAAGCACTGTTGCTGCTTCATCCATCCATCCATCTCCTGACACTGTTGGGTCATGTTCTCCATTCCTACCTGCTGCCTGCTGCAGCCCACGTGCTCTCCAAGTCATCAGCTTGTGTCCAAAGGATGCTCCT